TGTAATTGTGTGTCTTTGATTACTCCTGTCAAATACTTGTTCTGGCATATAAACTACCTGAGTAAATCAAGTATTGCCAAAGAGTGAAGCAACAGAAGAGAAGCAACTGGCGGTGTGGGATTTTCCCTTCCCTACAAATGCTGATCTATAACTCTTTTTATACCGATACAGTGATATATTAATACTATTGTTTTTATTACTAATATCACCACTGGGCCCATGGTATGACTGTATATATCCAAGCCCTGAAACATTAACAAAAGTTCACTCTGATTAAGAAATCAAATCTATAAATCTACATTCTTTCAAAGACGAAAATGTCTGGGATAAATTATTTCTAACAAAAGAGTTATGTGAGGAGGAGATTTCCCAGCTCCCCCTAGGTGTGCCACAGACATGATGTAGGCTGGTATTTGCTCTCAGAGGGAGGCCTTGGCTTTCCTTACTGGCAAACATGGGATGTAGTTAAATTCTGATAAGTACTCTGCAGATTCAGTAAGCTGTGGAAGTTTGGCCTAGAAGGGCTTTTGATCTGGGACCTATGCCAAATACTGAAAAGACTCATGAGAGAGACAGAGCAAGAGGTATCTGCGTGTGTGAGCTTATAGGTATGGGCGGGGGTTAGAAGTAGGAAGAAAAATAAACTTATATTTAAGTAACTAAAAATTCTTTTAATGGGACTGGAGAGACGGCTCAGTGGTTAAGAGCACTGGGTACTCTTGCAGAGGACCCAAGTTTCATTCCCAGAAACTACATGGAAGCTAACAAAGTCTGTAACTCAGGTCCAGGGGTACCGACGCCCTCTTCTGACCTCTGTGGGCACTGCACAACAAAGGTGCACTTACACACCTGCAGGCAATGCATTCATACACATAAAATAAAATCAAAATGCTAATAGAAAAAATGCCTTTTAAAAGATTCTTTGTTATTTCTGCTTATTAAAGTTTAATAAATAAAAGAAATCCCAATTCAAGGCCAGGAGGAATTTCCCTTATCCAGTATCAAATAATACCCAGTTGGCAGAGGATGAGGCTGCACATCTCAAATGACTTCGAGAGGCCTGAGAAAACCCCTGATGGCCGTACCTCTGCCCCTACTTAAGTCTAATACCTGAATTTATGTGTTACACAACTACTACTTAAAGCAGCAACTGCTATTAAAATGCAAATTATCCTGCACAGTGTTATCATCTGCTATGTTTTGAATGTGTCCACCCAAAGCTGAGGCACCGCCAATGGGGTAGTGTAAAAGGTAAGGCCTTGAAGAGTTGTTTGCTCCATGAGGGCCCCGCTCTCATGAATGAGGTTGAGCTCCAAATCCTCATAAAAGTACTTGAGAAAAAAATTGATTCTTTTGCCCATCTGCCATGTGACAATGCAGCCTGGAGGTCTTTATCAGGTGCTGGCACCTTGATCCCAACTTTTAGCTTTTGAAAGTGTAAGAAATAGATTTCTGTTCTCCATACGTTACCCAGTTGCTAGAAGAAGAGCAACAATGAAAGTGATTATGACATTAAACCTCACAAATAAAGAAACAACACAGGAAAAGAAGAGGAAGACCAGCTGGGTAGGGAATTGGTCAAAGCAGACTAAAGAGTTTTATCAAAGCCACACCTATGTAGGAATCATCTCTTAGAGCTTTGACCTTCTCTACAGAATCACAGAATACCTATCCCCTACCGAAAACAGAAGTGGAATGCAGAGGGTACTCATGTGGGAAATCTGTGAGACTTCAGACTAGTAGGGCAGGGGATTACTCAGTTCTAAAGCCACCATGTCCCCTATTTAGGCCCAGGACAAATACCTGTTGGGTGTTTCCAAGGGATCCAACATCGTTCACACTGTTGTAGAATCAGAAACGAAGAACACAGCACCCTTTGTTACAGTCACCAGGTTCCTAGTGGCCAAAAACTCATACAACCTTACTCTTCCCAAGCTATTGGGGTTATAGAGACAAAAATCAAACATGGCGGCAAGAGAGTATCAAAGGATCAGCAACATAGAAAACTGGTGAGCCTCAATTTATCTCAAGCACACAAAGACCTGATACTACAGAAAAGCATTCAAAGTTATCAACTGGAAGACGCTAACAGGGGACTTCAAATCCCCCACCACCTTGGCTGGACTGATCATATCATACGCCTGTTTTTATTACATGTTTTAAAACCACTAGTGGCAAGGACTAATGTTTTGTATTCTGGCAATGACACCAGTTTCAAAACAAACTACACTATCACTGTGGACTGATAATGCATTGCATCATTTTAAATACTTTCAAAGTAGGGTGTTCAATTTTCAGAAGTTGCCTGATGATCTTGATAAGGAATTTTCAGATGTATCTCTTGTTCGATCAACAGCAAGCTTCTCGGTTATGATATATATATGCATATATATGAACCTAAGAATAAAAACCTCAGAATGGAAAAAATCACATATTGAGATTTGCAGCAACGATAGACTACTTCTGTTTATACATGTATTTTTGTAGACTATTTTTAAAATTCACCCTTGCAAAGTTAAAACTTTTCCATATTTCATTATCAACAGATAACCTTACAAAAGTAAAACTTTCCAAACTAGATTTTTTTTCTCTGATGCTTATTGCTTTGTTCTAGATCTATGCCATCTGTACAAAACCTCCAAGTAGGAGCTTGATTAGGTCCATGGGCACTCAGTAGCTGAATAAGAAATATATATATTCACATAGTATCCAACCATTTTTATGTAGAAGGAAAAAACGATATTGAAACTTAAAGTCATTAACTAGATCCCTGGTTTCAAATGCATATGTTTTCGACCCAAGTAAAAAAATGACAGAAACTTCCAGGCCAACTCCCTCTTGCAAGGAATTCAAACTGACAAGGCTTAAAATTGAAGTGTTTGATATGTGGTATGGGGAGGGACAGACATACAGAATTCGGAAGTCCTAGAATCTTCAATCAAGCCTCTTAGGACAAGGACTGGGTTGGCCTTAGGGCTTATTTACAATAGAACCCTCAGTACTCATAACTGACCCAGCACATAATAGGCAAAACAATTGGTTGACTGACAAGGTCAGAGATGAATGGTAACACTCACTAAGTACGGAAATTCTTAACATTTGAGAACCTCAAAGTATATATGAGGACAACTTTTAAGGTCAAGTGTCCAGAAGCTGAAGAGATGGCTCAGCAGTTAAGAACACTGACAGTTCTTGCAGAGGACCCAGGTTCACTTCCCAGCACCCACATGGCTGCTAACTGTCATCCTAACTCCAGTTCCAGGGACTTCCAACACCCTCTTCTGACCTCTGTGGACACTGCACAACAGGGGCGCACTGACATACATGTAGGCAATACACTCATACACATAAAAAAATAATAAACAAAATAAAAAATTTTTAAATGGTTAAGAGTTCTCTTTGAGACAGCAGTCTTTGAAGTGAGTACATATGGGGTGTGTGTGTGTGTGTGTGTGTGTGTGTGTGTGTGTGTATCCTTTGACTTAGTCTTTAGGAATAAAACACAGTCTCTTCCTGAAATATATTCATCATTTAACAGGTCAGACAAACAGAAACCCAATAGCAATGTAAGTGGGATGATAGCCAAATGCAAACACAGCAAGGACAGCTTTCTCTTCCTGCTTCTTGGAAATATAATCCTAGAGCTAGACTTAACTGAGATCCAGCTCGACTGCAGTTGCCATTCAGAGACCACTGGGAACATCCATAAGCAGTTTCAGTAAGAGTTAAGGAGATATCAAAGCAAAAAGGACTGAAGAATGAAGAGAAGGAAGTGACTGAGAGACTAGGTGTTCACACGAGGAAGTTAAAGAACCAAGAAAAGGGAAATATTTGGTAGTCCATGATTTAGGAGGCAGACGGACGTCTCCAGCACTAGTCTTAATGCAGTTTCTGTTTTGTCTTCCAAACCAGTAAGGAAAGAAATAAACAAGGACAAAGAAATAAATAGCTCAGAAAGGACGATACAAAAATAGGTATTAAACATAAAAACAGCTATAATTGAGGAGCTAAGTTATCCTGGGCTTTTTGAACATCTCATAAAATTTTCCCAACAATGTAATAAAGTGAGTGAGATTTTCAGAACAGCAACAGGAGCACAGACGGGTGAGGCTGTGAGCCCGCGCAAGGACAGAAGGACAGATTTCCACTAAAAGAAAGGACACTAAGACCATTAGTACTTTTAGGCCATTGATAAAATATTGGGAAGGAGTGAAAAGAAATTAACTTGCCATTAAAAAGATACTTTCAGGAGTTTTAAAGTTGAATTGGGGTTAGAAATCAATTTTTAGCCAATCCATGACGTAAAAAGACTTTACAGCAGTAGCAACAGGACCCAGAGGGGGACAAAGTCAATAATAAACTGAAGGTGTGAAGTAGGATGTAATTGAAATATTTGACTGTGAGCTCAGATAAAATGAGAGTTGTGATTATAAAAGGTGAGATGAGGGTTACAAAGATAAAAGATTCACACAGAGCTGAGCAGACACGAAGGTAAAAAAGAATGAACTACAGATGCTCCTTAGAAAAGAAAAATTCAGCATCCCATGTCAAAGAGACAGCATCATAATCCAAGCCATTCAGCTGAGTTACTAAATGACCAGAAGTGAGAGATGATGGTAAAAAGAAAGCCAAAGGGCCTATCACCAACATGTTAGTGCATTAGCGAAATGGAGCTTGCTATCTACCTGCGGGGATGGAATGAAGTAATGGAAGGGGACTGGTTAAATAGGAAGATCTATATAGAGTAAAATCACAAGGGAAGTTGGAAAAATGACTTGAAGATCAGTAAGTATTGATGGGGAAATGTATATAAACATATTAATAGTATGGATGATGGAAGGATGGTAGGTACAGAAGGAGCATACAGTCCGCAGTAACATGCATTGTCTTAAAACACCAAAATGAATGAGCCAGTGGTGCCGCAATTTATCAGCTTTCCCTAAATATATCATCTTAGATGATGAGAAGTTGGCAACAACAAATATTTGAAACTAGCCTAAATACTTACCTGCCAGGGGACATACCAGGATCACGAAGGTGGTTTTTCCACGGTGAGGCTCATCCATTGTGCTCTGGGTGTGCCAACCCCTACGATTTCCCCAAACGCAGGAAACTCGACTGCATAATTTGTGTGTGTGTGGGGAAGGGACTGCGTTTGCATGCTCCCCCAAATAAATAAATAAATAAATAAATAAATAAATAAATAAATAAATAAATAATGGATGGATGAATTAATCAATTAATTAATTAAAATAATAATAGCCTAGAAAAAAACAACAATAACAGCAAGGTAATAGCACTTAACTTCCTATGAGACTCATATGCTTTTTATGTGATTTTAATTTTATCCTCTATGTTTTTTATACTTCACAAATGTTTTACAATAAGCAAGTGTTGCTTTTGAAATGTGAAAAGTTAATGTCTTAAGGAAAATAATGTATCGCCCTACACTATGACCATAAAAGACTTTACACGTGGTAAGCATGCTGTGGAAGGTCTGAGAAAGAAATTTTAAAGGTACACACACACACACACACACACACACACACACACACACACACACATGCACACACCCAAGCTCGCATGCCTTTTCTGCAATTACTTGTGCTTATATGTATGTACAGACATGCATGTGTGTTTAGGTTGTAAACATAGGTATACAGAACAGAAACACATGCAAGTTAACTTCTAGAAAAAGAGTAAATTATCTTACAAGAATAACAGCAACAAATTCACCCTGGAAACCTGAGCTAAATTTTGGGATTTTTCTTTCAAATTTTGTTGGTGGTCATTTTTCATAAAGAAATAAATACATCCATATTTCTTGATACTATTAGTACAAAAAACAGATCTCCTGGGGCCTTCTAAATATAGTTGTTCCATCTCTCTCTGTTGACCTACACGCTGAGCACTGGGGCGCTGTTTCCCTCTGTGCTTTATTGGGAGTCCTGAATCATGGCACCCATTTCACTGACTGTCTGGATGCTGGTTTTTGGAAAAGCAAGTTCAGGTATACAGGATCACAGGGGATGCAGCCACAGAGTGCAGTCTCTCCTTATGGAAACAATTATGTGACCGATTCCATTTGGTTTGAAGAACCAGCCTATGGAAGGGAAAAAGGAAATCCTCCTTTGTTTCCAAGAGAATCCCTGAAAACAGAGCCTGGGAATATTGTCCAACCAGCTCAAGGTGCTCAGACCCACAAAGGGAGTCCGGATCAGTTCTACTTTCTGGTCCGTACAGAGCAGATAGTACTGTTTCTTCAACAAAGACTACTGCGTGTGTTAGTGTCAATAAATACTTTGATGGAGGCATATTTTCTAAATCAATAATTGACATCATCCATATGATTTTAAAAGTAAATAATTTTCAACAATAATGCATTCAGGAGCTGAGAAACACATACAAGGAACAGAGCAGAATCTCCAAATTTAGGAACATTTAGGGTCAGCCCTAAATATATGCCACACCTAAAGTATAGCATAAAGAAAATAAACATTTGTAGGTCTTCCCAAAACTGCTCTGCTAAGGTTTGCTAGGGTGGTTTCTCATAAAGTCACACATAAGGGAGGAAAGGTAGAAGTACAATCTTCAAGGAAAGTTACAATTAGATGCATTTCCTACTTTTGCACACTTCTACACACCATTTTTCAGAGATGCTGAAAGAAAACAGCTTTGTAAAATCATTGTGTGAACCATAATTATTTTCTCTATATCATTATCATTCAGTTGAAAGCCTCAGATTATTAATACCTCAACTTCTACTAGTGAATTCACGAGTCTGAGATTTTTCACCCTTTTTACATATGAACAAAAGCACTCCTTAGTCAAATTTTCACAAACCAACAGTAGTGATGAATTGAGGTTCTACTTAAGCTAGCACTATTGTCCATTACAGCACTGTGAGCTGCATCTTGATTTGCTCTGTCCCCCAGGTTGCCTTAGCAGCGTGGTCACAGAGGACAGCAGAGCACCATGAGAGCTAAGCCTCCCGCCCTACTCCCTGAGGTAAAGGTAAACCTTTTAGCCATACAAAGCCTCCTCCCTCAGCACAGTGCTGGGCATCTGGTGACAATACATCCTGAACTCTTGCTCCTGGGCCTTCTGAGGTAACACCCACTTCCCATCCTGCTTTACCCCAGTTATGCAGAAGGCCTAGGGATCTGAAAGGACTTGAAAAGAACAATGTTCCTTTGGGGAACCAGAGTAAAGCCCTTCCTGGCTACTGAGCTGATCCCCTCAGGATTTAACTCAAGTACAAAACAGTACCTTTTCTAGCTGTTTCCTTTTCTCTTGCCACCGTGTTTGGTCTAGACACATGTTGTGATGAGCCACAAACTGGCTTGTAATTATTATTTAGATGATTCCTCTCAAATTGTCTCTAATATTTGTCTCAAAAGCTGATATAGAAACATAAAGGCAGATAACTTAGAGGACAGAGACAAGGGTCCTAACTTGACCCCAGGACTGGAATTAAAAGTTGGCAACTGGGGCCTGGGGAGATGGTTCAGTGGGTGAGCTCACTGGCTGTGCAGTCATGAGCACCTGAGTTCAGATCCCCAGAACCACATAACATCCAGGCTTCCATGTGCACCTGTAATCCCAACACTGGGGCAGGCAGAGAGAAACAGGTGGACCTCTGGGGCTTGCTGGCTTCCAGCCTAGCCAAGAAAACTGCCAGTTCCAGATTCAATCAGACATCCTGTCTCTGGAGATAAGGTAGAGAGTGCAAGAGGAAGACACCAGGCATCCTCCTGCTGTAAACTCCATCTCTGTGCACGCACACATACTGCACAGGCACATGCTTTCACACACACACACACACACACACACACACACACAACTGGTTTTAAAAAAAGAGCTTGCAATTGAACTGCTTCTTAACATTGAAAGATGTCCTCAACCAAGAAGTTTGGGGTAAAGTAGACATTTTGAAGGTCACTTCTTGAGTTCAGCAAGGCAGATGTATTTGAAGCTGGTCCGCCGTTTTTCTTAATCTGCATTTCTAACTGCGTGTTCAACGCTTTGGCATCAGGGAAAAGCAGGAGATTCGAAAACAGACACTGGATTCCACCATAAAAGACGGGAAAAAATTCAAGGGGCATTTGCAAAGCAAATAAAAAAGCAGTTTGACAATATTTTCAGAAATGCAGGACACAAATATATAAACAAAACTGTCTCTCTTATTTTACCAGGCTATTTTCTGCCCCAAATCTCCAGGGCAAGGGTGAGACAGAAGTCCCTATAACTGTCCCCAGCATGAGTAGAGGAAAGCAAAGCATGACAGCTTCACTTTGTCAGGATCCAGGGATCAGTGTTCCTGCTCTAGATCCGCTTCATCACCGAAAGTTTTGTTCTTCCTTCTGAATGCCTCCTTGTATATTCCATTTTGTTTTTTAAGTCATTATTACTGATCTCCAGTTTTTTAAACTTTGAAATTCATGTATTCACTACTCAGGCCACAAGTAGTGGAAAATCATGATATTTCAGAGATGGAAATACATCAGTACAAGAAAAATGAGAGTCAAGGATGTCATAAGCCTCAAAACTTATGAGACAAAAGTATTCAAACAACAATTAATAAAACATAACATGGGGCTGGAGAGGTATCTCAGTAATTAAGAACACTGGTTGTTCTTGCAGAAGACCCAGGTTCGAATCCCAGCACCCACATGGCAGCTAACATCTGTCTGTAACTCCAGTTCCAGGGGGATCCAACAGGCTCTTCTGACCTCCGCGGGCATTGCACGACACGGGTGCACTTACGTACATGCAGGCGATATGTTCAGAAACATAAAATAAATAAAAATAAAAATTTTTCTTTTAAATAACGTGTTATACTCAATAAATTTTGTGGAAAAGTTCAAAAACAACAAAGCAAGGGAGACACGATATGCTGGGGTGGAAGTTAGTCTTCAGTGTTAAATCTAAGTAGGTATCATGGAGAAAATAGGTTCGAAAAAATGATTTGGTGGTAAAGGAGGTGAGCATGCCGATGTGAATGCTCTCGCTCCCTGGCAAGGAAAAAATGGAGACCATTGTGTCAAGAGCTAATGATCAAATTTGGAAAAAGGAGACGATAAAGTCAGCAACCCTGGTGAGTCTCTGTCACAGACGTCCCATGTGACTGCTTATAGCCGCTGAGATAGAAGTAGATCACAGTGGTCAGGAGACTGGAGTAGAGGCTAGTATAGTAATAATGGAGGCAAGAGAGGATGGTGGCTCAGGCCAAGGGCTGGCTGAGTGGTCCTCAGACCCAAATGCGCTAGAAAGACAGGAGCCGGTAATCTCATAACAGACTGGAAGTAATAACAGCTGGAGAAGGAAAAAGAAAGATAACAGGCTTTTTTGATCCTTAGCATTGGAAAGCTGCCATCGCCATCCAGAAAGATGGGGAAAATAGTGAACAGAGCAAGAGTAAAGTGGGAGGAAATTTGGAGCTTCAGTCTAGGTACGCTGAGTCTGAGATGTCTCCTAGATATGGAAATAGAGAGATCCTGTGAGCAATTGGATATAAGTAATTAAAGTTCTAGAGAAAGAAGTCCACAGAGATAAAATAAGGACTAGTGCAATTTGACATTTGTTTTCTTTGCCATTTGCAACTATTTGAAAACCCTAAGATCTATAATTAATACGTCCATATTTCAATTCCTTAATGTTATGAAATTTGAAAAGGAAAAGATGAAAAAGAAGGAAGGCAGACAGGCAAGAGATTGGTTGATTGATTTGTTGATTGATTGAGTGATTGAGCGATTGATTGTCTGACTATCTTGAGGTTTACAAGCTGAGAGCGTGAGTCCCTAGACTCAAGGTGCTCCACGTGGAGAGCACACACCTAAACAGTTTTGAGTCACATCCTAACAGCCCTCCACCTTGTTTTCCCACACACACTGTCTTTCAATATTTCCAAGTCATTCCTGGTAGATCTTCCATTAGAAATGGCTCATAACATTTTAACTTGAAGTTTATCTACCTCCAGCCTTTCAAATAATTAAATATTTAAATGCTCAGGGAAGCTGGCGTTTGTGAAGCAAGAATTCTTTTGCAATGCAAATTTTAACTCTTAATTTCTCTGCTGGGTAAAATAAGAGTTACAGGGATCGAGTTTGCTTCTGGTGCGTGTAAAATAGAATCCAGCCCCTATCATCCGGGTTGCGCGATGCCCACTGG